TTTTATCGGTTTGGCTAGCCACGTACCACAGTTTTAGGTTAAGGAGATCTAGATGTTCGCACTTTTTGCTTTATGATTTCTCATTAGAATAGAGAGTTATGTAGAAGTTTCATAATGTAAATTCTAGTACTCACGGGCAAATTGAGTCAAACGATTTGACTTATTGACTTCGGTTGACTTTGTCTTGACCGGAAGTTGATGGTTGTCACACTAGTCATGTGACAAGAACAACCACTATCAATGTACCATTTGTTATCATATTTCTCGTCACAGAGTACTAGCAACTAATAAAAGAATTTAGGTACCCAAGGCTTTTTGGGTCCTTATAATTTAGATTTAAATTTCAATTTAAGGAAGAACTTTTAACCCAATCGTAAACTTTGGTTTTGAGACTATGAATTAAGTCTACTTCATCATGTAAAGAGATCGAAACATAAGATTTTGTTGGTTTAGAATATTCACTGACATTACCCTTCGTATTCTAAGTTTGTGATTGAACATTCTTTGGTTTCACAACTGGTTTCCATGCTTTGACTGATATGTTTGAATCCTTAGAAGATGAACTTCCATGTGATGAAGTATTCACATACTTCTCATAGGCTTCATGAATTTGCTCCTTTGAGAATTTACTCGAGTGATACATTTTTCCTCTTCCTTCTAGCTAATGATCAATATTCTTTCTTGAAGACAACCCTTTTTCATGCGAAATTTTCAAAACTTGTTTCTTCGTGTGATTAGGAAAATTTGGCTTTTGAGGAACGAAATAAACATTTGGTTATTAAGAAAAGATTGAGCATATGTTATATCAACAGTCGATTTGAAATGTAGGCATTGAGAAAACACTTGTGGTGGATTTGAAGAATATTTCCTTGGAAGTGTGGTTTTTGAAACTTTCGAAAACTTTGTTTGTTGATTTGTTTCAGATTTTGAATGATTTGATTTAGAAAATGTATGATTATTCATTGAAAAAGATGAAATTTTTATCCTTGAAAACATTTTTGTGTGAATGTGAGTCAGACAAAGATTAATTTATTTGAACATAATTTTTCTTCTTGTCTGAAAAAGTTGTTGAATTTACTGACTTAACGGGTTTATGTGTTTCATTTGACTTCTTTTGAGACTCAACAGTTTGCCAAAAAAAATTCTTTCTTGCTCGTGTTTTTGAAATTTTAAGATCTTTCAAAAAAATTTCAATTTGATCTTTGAATTCTTTGGAGTTTAGTTTGACAACATTTTCATTTTTCACTTCAAATGGATTTGAAATTTCTTTTTCAACTTTTGACTTTTCAACGCATTTCCTTTGTGGTTTCTGCCGTTGAAAAATGTACGAATTCTTCGTTAAGTTGTTTTCAACTGTGCTTTGATTTGAAAAGAAGCCTTCGTCTAAAGTTTTCTTATTATCTTCTTCTACTAATGTTTTGAACTCTAGTTTGACATTCTCAACATTCCTTGTAGTTATGAACACTTGATTTAGAAAAACAATATCATCCGAACACTTGAAATTCGGATATACCACTGTATTCGTTTCCAGAAAGTGAGCACCTTATTCATTCATCACCTTTTCGAACTGTTGTGTATCACCATACACTTGATCGACCACAACTCGAGGAATTTATTCTTCTTTTGAGGATTTCTTTTTCTTTGAAATTTTCTCCTCATTTTCATCATCACTATCATCAATTTGATTATCTCTGATGTCCACGAAGTCCAAATCACAAACTTTCGAACTTGAGGGTTTGTCAGTTTCAATCATAACCATCAATTCCTCAACGTTTTATTTCCGTTTAGATGTTGAAGCAACATTAACAATAGAAAACTGGGAACAATCAACATCCTCTAAATCACAAATTTCACTAATATTATCAGAATCATCTTCAATATCAGCAAAATTAGATTGAGAATAGATGTTGAATTCTCAGTCTTTTTCAAAATTTTGATTTGTTCTGATTTAGTTAAAGTGTCATTGACAATGTTAACTAAATCATTCATATCAAGACATTCGTCAATTTTGACAATTCCATATTTATATTTGTCATCAGGAACTTTGTCAAATTTAGCTATCATTTTCTCACAATCATACGAAATATTGTCTACCTTCGCTCTCTCAAATGCTATAGAAGGCTGTAATTTTCTATATTGCTCTTTACTAATGTCACGCGAATGATGTAAATCAGTTAATTTTCCATATAGTCTCTTCGCTGAATTACAATATATATTTCGTTGTGCTAACAAAATTTTGACTTCACTAGGCAAAGCATCCTTATCACACATTATGTTTGTTATTTGTAACTCTAAACATTCAACTTTAGTTATTTTCATATCTAAAAGCTTTTTGGTCTCTAACAACTCCATTGACAGTTTCTTAGCCTCGTTGTTAATAGACACAACAATTGAATCAAAATAAGTAACAGTCTCATCAAAGGATACTAATTCGGAGTTATAAGCATTTACTGGAATATTAAAAGATTCGAGAATATTACGTACCTTTTTCGTCATAGGAGATTTCTCAGCAGTGTTTGATACGAAGCACCTTCCTTTCACTTCAAACTCTTCTCCATCCGAATCCTCTTCCATTTTGGCAAACAATGCACAATGAGTAGGATTCCTGATCTCCTCATCATCTGATCTAGATGACCAGATTTGATAGGCTCCAGCTTCGTCCTCCTCACCTGTTGCAATCAATGACAAGTTATTTTCTTTCACACGAACCTCCTTAAGGATCTCGGCGTAATAAGCTTCAACTTTGACATATTCTTTTTTTCATCTTTCTTTCTTAGCATGCAGTCATTTGCAAGGTGATTGGCTCCATTGGAGTAGTGACAATATACACCTGAGTCACCTTTAAGCTTCTTCTCATTCTTCCCTTCAAACGCCTTCGAATCATTCTTCTCAACCTTCTTCTTCTCCACACCAATAGCTTTACTCTCAGCACTTCTTTTCACCTTAGGTTGCTTAGCCTTCGAAGTGAATGGGTTTTTGAAAAATTTCTTGACACGATTATTTGAGTAAAATGCAATTGCTTGATCATCTGAATTCAAAATGAATCCTTCTTCCTCCTCTGAATCACCTTTTTCGTATGTTTCTTTCTCAGACACCTTTGAGACTAAAGCTAACGGACCTCCCAAACTTAGCTACGATTCCTCAGCTATTTCATTTACTTCATTTTCGTGTGTCTTCAACTGATTGTACAAATCTTTGAGAGTTGATGTATCAAAATATTGCTGATTCTTGACCATTATACTCACGCTTCTCCATTCTTTTCGAAGACCCATTACAAAAATGATATTGAATTTCATTGAAGTCCTGTTGATCCCATAGCGATTGCAACGATAGATTAACTCGTTCAGATGATCATAATATGCTTCAATCGTTTCAACTTCCTTTTGTCTGAAATCTTTAAGCTCAACCAAGCACTGTTTGACTGAATTAACTTTTTTCTTCTCGCTCCCTTGAAACTTATCTTTCACATTGTTCCAGATCTCTTTAGCAGTTGTACAACTCCTTATGTAATTGCACACAACTAGAGTTAAAGCTCCTCGTAATTCTCTCATACACCTCTTCTCCAGTTTCTTCAGACGATCAGATTGATTTTCAACAACAGAACTTCCAGAAGATGATCCAATTGGTTCAACATTCACTGGAGGATTAACATTTTCAGGGATACACGACCACAATTCTTCATCAAGACCATTAAGATAATCCTGCATACGATTAGCCCACTTATCATAGTATTAAGGAATTAGCATTGGAATTTTGGTCGATGATCCTAACAGATGAGAAAACGAGGTCATCGAATTGTGATTGAAGCTCGCCATTGTTGTACGAAAGAAATTTCTTAATGAGAATTGAAATTTTGAAAACAAGCTAACTGATTCACTCAGAAATGAAAAGAACACCACTCAATTCAACAATTCTGATGCAGAATCAACCAACAACCTTAAATCTAAGAGAATTTTTCACTTTCAAAAAGAGCGGAAACTTTTGAATCAAAAAATCGTTTCAAAAATTTTTGAATAACGTGAAAATCAGATCAAGGAGTATGAATCTTGCTCTGATACCAAATGATGAATCAATGAATCGAGTAATTAACAAATCAGAGTATGTACCATAATAAGAATGAACACCGGATGTAAATAAAATCTTGTTTTCAGCTCTATTACGCTTTCATATGTTTATAGAGAACAATGACAGGTTTCTGTAAAGTAATGCTTATCTAACTCTAGTAAATGTTCCTATTTATAGGAAACAGAAAGTGTACAAAAAATACTAAGGCATTGACTCTAAGCTTCATATAAAAGCACCTTAGTTAGATACATTACAAATCATATGAAGGGGAATAGGACAGACTTCGACTAATTACAACATGCATTGACTATTACATCGTGCAAGGTATTTCGTGTGCACAACATAGGAGTCTGATCCTCGGATATTTCTATGATAAAGAGGGAATTCTGGTGGATGCTGAGGAGGAAACTGCAGATTTCTTGAAGTATAATTTTCCTAAAGACGTGTCTGATGATAAAGAAATTTTTTCACATGTTGCACGAATCCCAGATGCCATGTTGAAAAATGTTGATCCAACGAATATTGTGCTTATTGTTTATATGACAACAATTGATCCCACAGTTGAAACTGGGAAGATGTTAACGAAAGAAGGTGCGGGTCATTCGAAGAAATCTAAAACAACAAAGCAAGCGGTGATTGTCAGTCCTGAGCCAAATGTTCAAGACACGAAGCAATCAAAGTCTCCCAAGAAAAGAACAAAGTCTGATGAGGTAGTTTCAAAAGATGTGATAAAGTCTGTTGAACCTGTTGTTACAGAACCAAATTCAGTTACCATTCCTTCGAAGACTGGGGTTTTTCAAAGATTAAAGTTGAAGTATGGTGGTTCTCCGACTTTGAATGTGGTTCGCAAGCCTGATATTACTCATCAAGGGGTAATTATGCGCAAAGTCCCAACTCCAGTTTCTCCTCACTAAAAGAAACGAAGGGCTGAGGATATGGCCAAGAAGATTTCGAAGAAAAAGAAGAAGACAAAGAAGAGGCAGTTAGTAATTCCAACGAAATCATCTGAAGAAGAAGATGTTCCTGAAACACCCGAACCCGAACCTATTATAGAGCCTACTTCTCCTGAGAAGACTATTGTCATACCACCCAAAGTTTTGTCTGCCAAATCATCTCATGAGAAGGTACGAACTTTACACATCAATACAAACGTAACTGATATAGGTGTAAATGTCATCATGGGTGAAGGAGATCTATCGAAGGAAACTACTCAACCTCCACAAGGTACTCCAATTATTGTTTGTGTCGAACCCATTACAAGTACCTTCGTTTCTTTACCTCCATTTATCATCCCTACTACTTCCACCACTGATTCACCAACCTTTCAAAACATCATCGACCAACCCTTTACATCCATTTTTTCATCTCAATCCACTGATCCACCCAAAGCGAATGATGAATCTGATAAGGAAGAAGGTGGCTTTGGCGGTACTTTTGAAGATATAGCTTTTGATGAAGAAGAAGAGGATTTCCCTGACCATATGCTCATGTCCATGAAACAATTCAAAATACTGAATAAAACGCTGAATTCAAGTATTCAGTCTCAAGCAGACATGGGGGAGGAAGTTTAGTGTCCAATTTCGAAATTGATGGACTGATGAAGGCTTGTGAGGCACGAATAGTGAGCAGGATGTCTGGTATTCTTAGAGATACCGAGTCCAGAATCTTAGAGAAGGTTGATCAAAATGATCAAAACATTGAGTTAAGGGTAAATTCTTTCAATTACAAATATGTAGGAGCTGTGAAAGAGTTAACGAATGTTCAAAAGCAACGACACACACTGTTCGTTATGGATGTGAAGAAGGTGAGAGAAGATGGTAATTTGAAGCTTCAAGATCTTCGTGATGACATGGTTCGTGAAGTTGCAGTTGTTCAGAATGATTATGCTACTCCGCATAAGAAATTTGATATTATTTGTGATGTTGTCACGAAATATGTTACGTTGTGCGAAAGCTTGATTCCTCAAATTACTCAACTTTCTACAACTGACAATCAACAGTTTGGAGAGGTTATTTCGATGCTCAAAGATTTGAAGGAGTCAGTGCTCAAGCCTACTACATCTTCGATAATTACTCCGGAGTTTCTCTCACAAAAGTTTACATAGTTCGAATCCATTCTCCATAAACAACTAGCTCCACTATCAACCATTTCAAATCTTCTTATTGGGCTGAAAATTATTTTGAAGATTGCGTCTTTTGGGCTCGACTGATTATGCTACTTTGTATTCCGGTTTGGGCCTGTCCAACCGTGAACCTTTTATGTTTTGTATATAAGTTTACGCTTGCATGCATATTAGGTTAAGGTTTCAGAGATCTGAAAATAGCGATATATCTAGACGATAACAGGTTTCTTTGATCATTCTTGTAACCTTCCAATCCTCTATAGTTGATGCTCTTAATCGAGCTCTTCTAAGGATTTTGTTTAATCATTCGACTTGTTTGATTCCATCTTGACTTATTCTTTTTGTTGCGTTCTTATTGTTTATGTTTATATACTTGTTCAAGATCTAATCGATCTTTATAGATTAAAGGTTAGTTTAATCTCATCAATTGGTATCAGAGCGGGAGGCTGTGTAATTGATACACATCTTTTCTGTGAAAAAGATTTCCATTAGGGTTTTTCCACAATTATCAATATTTATTGAGCCGTCATCTCTTTATTGACGTATCTTGATATTTATTATTTTGCCCTAATCTGCTTTATTACAAGTCTGATCTTTGAACAGGTTTTTACGATCATAATGGACGCGACACAATCAAACCTTATTAATATTTCCAACAGCATTGGTTCGACGACAAAGATTCCAATCTTAACTATGAAGTATGAGCGCATCACTTCGAAGACTACGTTATTGGATCGGAGGATAATGGGTATCTCATTTGGGAAGCCATCACCGATGGACCGTTTTCTCATTCTGTAACGTCCAGAATCATCAAGACACAAAAAGAGTACAATGATCTGCTAAAGGACGTGAAGGATATTGCACAAGATGAAAAGGATAAATTCCAGTGCAATATCAAGGCATTAAGGTTGATCAGATTCGCCCTTCAGTCCGACACATTCAGATTGGTTAGCTCATGCACGACGGCAAAGGAAGTTTGGGATACACTTCGTGAACTGTATTCTACAGACGAGGATCTTGAACATTCTATTCAAACTTTGCTTTTATCTGAGTTTGGAGAATTCAGGCAAGGAGTCGAAGAAACCGTGACCCAGACATTTGATCGCTTCAATCATCTTCTCAGCAGGATGATCAAACACGATATTGAAAGGAAGCTTATTGAACAGAAGGTTACTTTCCTAAATGGTCTGAGGTCTGAATGGAGAGCAGTGGTTTCCACAGTTAAAGCCCATGAGCAGTTTAAATCATACTCTTTGGCGAAACTGGTGGGTATTCTCAAGTCCCAAGAGAAGATTGTGGTGCAAGAAAAGAATATTGCTACTAGTCTTGGTTCGTTGGCCCTCCTATCTAAAAGTAAAGTTGTGATGGAGGATGAAGACCTCAACCTGGAGGAATATGATCTCACATCAGAAGATTATGCCATGATGGTGTCCAATCCCAAGAGGTTCCTAAAGAAGAGATTCCCCAACAACAAAAACCAAAACTGGCAGGGGAGTTACAACTCTAAAAAGGTGAACAATGAACCGAAGGCTGAGGAGCACAAGAAGGAACAAAAGGTGGATGGCGATTCCGGAGTAAGCTGTTTCTACTGTGGTGGGAAAAACCACTATGCTAAGGACTGCGTCCTTAAGAAGATGGCTGAAAAAGATGATGGGAATGACGAGGAAGCTGTGTTGCAGAAAAGACTGGACGAGCTGAGAAAGAAAAGTCTACCGCTAACCCTTCTATTAATGCTCTTATTGTGCAGGGTTCGGTTAAAGGTGATGAGTTCGGTAGCACGGAAGTTTGGTCTACCGACTCAGAAGACGAGGAAGTGAGGAAGCCTACCCATGGAAAGGCTTATGTGGCTAAGGAGGAAAGCAGTGGTGGAAGATGCTTCATGGTAACTGACGTATCTCATATGAGGGGATACAACACCGATGGAGGAAGTGATGGACCGAAGGTACAGGAGGATATGTGTTTTGCGGCCAAACCACTTAGCCAACAGTTCAGTGAGCTCGATGAACTGATAAAGAAGGTACAATCTGATTTTATTTCATGCAAAGTACCCTCAACCTCATATGAGAAAGAACTAAAAAAAGTTAATACAAGAATTTCTCATCTAGATAGTAGCTTAACTCAAACTCGAGTCACCAATTCTAACCTAACTGATCAATTGAACAGGGCGGCGTCGAAGAGTGAGGAGCGGAGAATGTGGATAGAGTTAAAAGAGTCGGAATTAGTTAAAGTTAAAGATGAAAACATTTATTTGCAAAGATACAATTTAAAATTGTTAAAACAGCTGAATGTTTTTTGTTTAATTGCTAAACGTCTGTATTCTAATATTACTCAGCTTCACTTGGATTGTGAAATAGGCCAAAAGATCCACCGCATGATTTTGCCCTTCCTAGAGTTTAAGGAAGATGCAATCGATGCCGAAGCCTACAATTGTGAGAGTGTGATATCTTCTGATGATGTCAATCCGACCTACATGTATGGACTGGACAAAATTGAGTCCTTCATTAAATCCAAAGACCACAAGGACATGCTTAAAAATCTTTTGGATGAAAATGACAGACTTAACTGAGAACCGAAACCATGCAAAAATTTAACTCTTTAAATGCCAACGTAAGCTCAGAAAACAAAATTGATGTTGAAAATGCATCTGAGCTTAACGAGGACGAAAACATGAGCGAAATTTCTGTAGAGGACACGATTGACTGCTCAGAATTTATTAAAACCGAACCTGAAAACCACAAGAATCTTATTTCTAAAAATTCAGTGGAGTTCGCTCGGTTGTCCCATCAAAAGTCCCCAAAATTAGTTGAGAAAGTTGTTGTGTATCAAAAGGTCAGGACCACTCCGAATCAAGTATACAAGGTAACAGGAGTTACCGAACATCAAACAGCTGAACTTGTATCCATTGTAAACGAAGACAATGCTGATGGCTGCGATGAGTACTTCTGGGAAGCTCCAATTGATAATGCAGACGAAACCATTGGTTTATCTGAAAGAACTTCCTGGAAGAGCAAAGGAAGATACATACCTGAACCCTTGAATAAGCCGAACAACTTCGATGAGCCAAGCCCTAGTGGTACAAAAGATATTCCTCAGAAGAATGATCACTCGGCAAAAGAAGACATTCCATCTGCTCCTTCGGCTCAAAGTAAGACTCCTGCAGTTCAAAAGGAACCAGCCAAGGAGACACCGAAAACGAAAGCAAATGTTCATCATCAACCTACTCAGATGAGGAATAGGAAGAGAGAAAGGAGCAATAGATACAGGAAGAACCTTTCTGAAAGGAAACAATTCTGGCATTCCCAGAATGCATATTTCTCTCATCAAGACAAGAATCTGAAGTATGAAAACAATCCTGTAGGAAAGCTTGAAAGTCACAAAAACCGAAAGCCAAGGTTCGGTTCACAAGAAGATATCAACCGAAGGCAAAGGTTCGGTTCTGAAAAAGACCTCAACCGAAACCAAAGGTTCGGTTCCAAAGACAGCTCCAACCGAACGCAAAGGTTCGGTTCTGAAGTCAAAAGAGAACAATGCTCTAAACCCTCTCCTTCCAAACCTTCTCTTTCTAATTCTTCTCGTTCTTTCTAATTCTTCTACTTCCACTGTTTTTTCTCCATCTTATTCTAAAACTGATTCCTCTTGTTCTCTAAACTCTCACTCGTCAGCTGAACAAAAGGGAAAGCAGAAGGTGAATGAATCCAAACAAGAGTCCAAACCAAACACACCCAATCCTAACAAAATAAAAGTTTTTACCATTAAAAGGAAAGATGCAACAACTCTTATAAAACGAACTTATCTTGTTGACGTCTCTCTTACTGTTCCCGTTCCCATGCAAAGCTCACATGGACCCAAGAAACTTTGGGTTCCTAAATCTATCTAATTTTTGCAGGTTATAAGTGACGAGCAGTTCGACGAAGAATGGTACATCGATAGTGGTTGCTCACGTCACATGACAGGGAGGAAAGAGGAGCTTAGGGAATACAGATCTCTTGAAAATGGTGGCAACGTCAAGTTTGGAAATAATTCTTTCGGCACCATAAAGGGATACGAGATGATAACAAATGGGGACTTTACTATAAGGAAGGTGGCTTATGTGGAAGGACTCCAACACAACCTCATTAGTGTATCTCAGCTTGTTGGAGGTACAGGTCTCAAAGTCTCGTTCGATGATGAAGTGACTGAAGTCATAAGGAAAAAGTCAAAGAAAGTGATTCTCAAGTCAGAGCGAAAGGGTGAAATGTTTCCCTTAAACCTTAAACCCATCAAAGGAAACCCAGCTATATGCTTGTTGTCAAAAGCTCAATCCGACGAAAGCTGGTTGTGGCACCGAAGATTATCTCATCTCAATTTTAAAGATATCAACCGACTTGTCACTGGAGGTCATGTTAGGGGTCTTCCATTGCTCAAGTTCGACAAAGATCATTTGTGTGCTGCATGCGAAATGGGGAAGCAGAATCGTCAAAGTCACCCATCTATAATCAACACAAAAGTTGTTGAACCACTCGAATTACTTCATATCGATTTGTGTGGTCCTTCATCTATCGAAAGCATCGGTGGTAGCAAGTATATTCTTGTTATTGTTGATGACTTTTCACGATTTACATGGGTGTTCTTTCTAAAACTCAAATCTGAAGCGACTCAAAAGCTGAAAGTGTTTATCAAGCAAATTGAAGTACAGCTTAAGAAGGTTATTCGCAACATCAGAAGCGACAATGGTCTCGAATTCAAGAACATGGAGTTTGAAGAGTTTCTTGCAGAAAAGGGAATTAGTCACAATTTCTCAGCTCCCTACACACCGCAACAGAACGGAATAGTCGAAAGACGAAACCGATCTTTGTGTGAAGCTGCCCGAACTATGCTAAGTTTCGCTTCCTTACCTCTTTATTTTTGGGCTGACGCTATTTCGGCTGCTTGTTTTACACAGAACAGGTCCTATCTCAACAAGAGGTTCGCGCTCACTCCATATGAGATACTGAACAACAGAA